TACAGCTTGCGATAGATGTATATCAATACAAAGTTCTGATTTACAACATTTGCCTTTAAATCCTTACAGAATTGAGGAGTCTTGCTGTGCCATTCCCTTTCCGAGTCACAATTTACTAGGAGTGTGACGTTATTTAACTTTACTTCCAGCTCTGATGTCTTTGCATTCAAAAATTTTTACGTGGTAGAGCCATGCTGCAGTTATATTAGTAGTATAGTTGTAGTACGAATTGGTCGGCTCGACCGGGGAAGGACCGCGCTCTCACAGAATGCCAGCGTGAAATAGTAGCTTAATGCTGCTGTGTTTCGTATGGTGAGTGCAGAGAACCGGAGACCCTTTTTACTGGAAACGAGGCATTCCATCTTAGTCCTCACGGGTGACAACGCATCTGCATTTTGATTCGTAATCGAGGATAGATGTAGATGTCTATGGGCCACAGCAACCACTTACCATCAGGTGGACTGTGTGCTCGTTTGTCACCCTATCCTATAAAAAAAAACTTATTAATTTTAATCGGTATACTGATATTCATAAAATAGTGACAGTCATAAGCACTAAACCGTTAGCTGTTTTCCAAAATAAATTTCTAATAAAACATAACATGATTCTAAAATTAGAAGACTTTGACTTATTTCGTTCATATACGTGACAACGAGGCTTTCTTTGAGTTGAGTAATTAATTTAACTTCGATTGCTATTAATTTGCGTCGACGAGTGGCTTGTGTAGTATTTTAATATCGTACGAAGGAATTTTGCTTTGTCGTTTGGAACGCTGAACTTTGTGACCCGGGAGGAGATCGCGTTCCTTCTTCGATTATAGTTTTGTGCTAAGTGACGTTCGACTTGAGTTCAGATAACGGTGAACGCCCACTGGAGTGATTGCACCTTGTGGAACAGGGCAACGCATGTGGTTCTGCTGGCCGATTACATCGGTGACGTCAGGTTACATTATACACCTTCCTACACCACTCACACCTACCATTTACTTGCTCCTGACGTTACCTTGTGGTTGACCTTACCTCCGGAACTCGGTAAGGTTGTGTTTGCTTATCCAGCTATTATAAATTAATTATCCATAGGCCATTTGTGCCCGAACCCTCTGTTGCTCGTCGAGTTGGGTTACGATGGTCCCTAGCCCAGTCAACTTCTGTCGGGGCAACTGAGGGCCGTAACAACATATGATCCTCTAAACATGCAACTTTAACCTTACATAAGCGTACGAATTTTAAATCGTAGAATACGGTCTGGCTGATAATTAAAACTAAATGACGTAGTTAACCCAGCGCCGGATAGCCGGTACTCAAACTGCTTCAGACTTGGAATGTTTTAATTTTCTACAGAATATGGATAAAACTTCTTTGTTATATTAAATATTTACTACATTATTTTAATTTCACATTCTTGAATATATTTTTGTTTCAAGCTATGAATGTCAATTTATGCGATAAGTCTCGTACGTATTATTAAGTACGTGTTATAGTAAATGTTCTCTTACTCGTATATATAAAATGTTCGATTACCAGCTGGCTTTCCACCGCCGACTAGACATTTTTACATCAGCCGCGGTAAAAGACATCTGATCTTATTTTAATTGAACTTAACATTTGAGAAATACTCTTTATATTAATAATATTATTAGTATAACGTGCAATACTTTAACATATAGATAAAAAATGTTTTGAGTAAAGGAAACTTTCAATGATCATTTTAAAATGGCTACCGTGTAGGGAAGGTGTCAGATATCCACTACCCTATATCGTCCCGTGGGTGCCCTAAGAGGAAAAAGAAGATAACTGAAATAATAGATGGGCTGTAACGTCTTTCTGAAAACAATTCAAAATAATATAAATACTGCAGTTGCCAACCTGCGTGCTAAGCATGACAATTATGATAATGATCCAGCGGCAATCTGTGGATAAGGCTTATGTTCAGCAGTGGACTCATTACGCCTGTAATGGATGGATGGATTGTTTATTTACGGTCCAAATACCATACATTTATTTTATGCTGATGCAGTCCGAACCACCGCGTGACGAATAAGTAATAATGCACCATTTTTAAATTAAACTTACTGTGTGTAATAAACTGCTAAAGGAATAACACTTTTGCTTACTTTATACGCAACTCATACTACATCTTAAACTAAATTACTAGTCCTAAACTACATAACTGTAAACTAACTTAACTATTAAAGTAGCTGCACGAGTCGCAAGCTGTGGCACGTACCAGTGTATGTAAGTGTTATTTTTTATTTTGACATAGTAAACAAAATTAAAATAAATACTACATGCTTTTTGGAAACCATTGTTTTTTTACTAACCCTTGTCATTATAATTGTTGTTATTGTTATTGTGTTACTAACCCACATATGGATTTTAATTATCTGAAGTAAAGAATTTATTTTATTATTATTATTGTGGGGTATCTATATAGTTTTCTCATCTGGTTGGGTTCTATAAATATATAATTATAAATGAAAATGAAAAGATAAATATACATATATATCAATAACATAAAATAAATATAAAAATACATAAATAAATAAAAGCCCAACCAGATGGAGGCCCTCGTCAAGGGAGACCAAACAGCCGAGGGTTAGGGGGAAAGGGAAAGAAACAGCGGACGATGCGGGCGGTATCGAGGAGCACCGCCTTCTGCATTTGAGCCCGGAGCGGTCCGCCACGTAGTCCCAGTCGCCTCAGATGACCCGAGAGGCTGACTGGGATTAGCCCGTTTGCAGAGACGACTACAGGAATAATTTCGGTCGGCAGACCACCCCACATGTCAGTCACCTCGTGAGCCAGGTCCAGATATTTTGTTTGCTTGTCTGTTTCGGCTTTCACGAGGTTCTCGTCATACGGAATGGTAATGTCGACCAAAAATATCCTTGACTGTGCCCGGTCCATCAGCACAATATCAGGCTTATTCGCAAGAATAGTCCTGTCTGTGATGATGGCCCGGTCCCAATAGAGCCTGGCGCGATCATTTTCGAGCACGGCTTCCGGCAAGTACTTGTAATACGGCAATTTCCGATCCACTAGACCGTATTTCAGAGCGAGCTCCTGGTGAAGAATTCTGGCTACTAGGTTGTGCCTGTGCAAGTACTCAGAGTTAGAAAGCGCCGAACAACCGGAGATGACATGCCTAAGTGACTCACCGGGATGGCGACAAGCTCGACAGATGTCCACGGTGCCATCCTTTAGGATGTATCTCCGATAGTTGTTGGTCTTAATAACCTGATCCTGTATTGCACAGACAAAACCCTCGGTTTCCCCGAAGAGATCACCAAAGCGTAGCCAGTGGAGGGAGGCTACTGTGTCTACGAAAGGCTCATGTAGAGCCTTGTAGAACCTCCCGTGGAGCTCCTTCTCCTTCCATACGTTCTCCCGGTCGGAAATTGTCTGCACTGCCGGGTCTTGCCATTGCTCGTTGGCTAAGGATAGAGGGATAAGCCCTTTATCACTAGAAATGACGTCCTTATAGAATGGATCATCCGATCTCGCCAGGAAGTAATTACGGAGGCTGCACACTTCGCGATTATGCATGGTGAGCGCGCTCAAGAAGCCACGCCCACCATGCTTTCGCGGCAAGTACAGCCTCATTACCGACGATCTCGGATGATGCATCCTGTGGGACGTCATGGTAGTGCGGACTTTTCTATCCAGGGCGTTAAGTTCAGTCTGAGTCCACCTGAGTATGCCAAAGGTATACATGAGGACAGGCATGACCCAGCCGTTATATGCGTGTGTCTTATTCACACCGGACAAAAAGGCCGTTAAGCACTTTGGTCAAGCGTGCATAAAACACGTCGCAAACTGACTGTTTCATACCAGCCTCATCGATACCGATGTTCTGTGACATACCCAGGTATCGGTATGTTTCAGCCTCGGAAAGGGTCCTTAAGTTGACGGGCATAGATAAGTCTATGCCCTCAGAGTTAGCAACCCTCCCCCTTTCAACATGGAGGACCGCACACTTATTCGTCCCCAGCTCCATTCCAATGGAATTGCTAAATTCACAAGTGATGTTTAGCAATTCCATAAGATGGGAGCGACTGGAGGCGAATAACTTGAGGTCATACATATAGAAAAGGTGGGTCAAAAAATCCCCTCCCGGAGCCCTCCAGTAAAGTACTGAGAGGGTTCAGGGAGAGGCAAAACCAGATTGGAATCAGACAATAGACCTGGAAGATACCCCTTCTTATCCTTATGTGGTTCTCCGCAGCCATCATCCGCTCGCCCAGATAGCAAAGTATCGTACTCCATTGCCCCATACACTGCTCGAGGAAGTCTCCAACTGTACAGTCAATTTTGTACAGCTGGAGGACTCTCTTTAGCCATGTATGGGGCACCGAGTCGAATGCCTTTCTGTAGTCTATCCAGGCGGCGGAGAAATTCCGACGGTTGCGTTTCACCACTTTGCCAATGACCGCGTCAATGAGGAGTGGTTCCTTGGTTCCACGACCACCGCCCCCGGTATCCATTTTGAGCGCGTGACATCACCTGATTTAGCTCTGGGTGACGAGTGATTCTCGCGCTCAAAATGGATGTCAGTGTCTTATATATGGTGGGTAGATACGTGATAGGGCGGTATTTGCTCGGGTCAGGCTCGGGAGCGACTTCTGATTGAGAGGCTCTTGAAACTGTCGGGCGAGCACAGCGTGACACACTACGAACCCCTTCAGCCAGTAATGATGCAGCCCGTCGAGCCCCGGACTTTTCCAGTTCGGGGCCCTACGGACCGCCTCAGCCACGTCTTCAGGCGTTATGGTGACGGGGTCCATAGGCGTAACACTTGCACTCTGGCTCGCCACAACTTCCATCCAAGGGCCCTCGCTGTGGTTTACGGGCTCTGACCACAGGCCACGCCAAAATGCGACAGTGTCAGCCTGATCCGGTCCTGGGCCCGCTCCACATACCTCTGGTCGCTCCAATGATTTATAGAGCCTCTTCTGATCACTCTGGAAGAGACGATTCTGGTTGAACCGCCTTGACCTCTCGCTAAATCGTCGAATCCGCTTCCCCCCAAGCAGCGATTTTTTGCTTCAGGTCATCTATGCGCTCCGTTAGTTTTTGCGTGATATCCGGCTGGAACAAACTGATATTTGTCCCAGCAAACGCCATCCTAACGGTGCGCATAATCCTCGGTCTATTATTACCCGACCTGAAGCTTGTCAGTCTGCCGATAAGGGCCCTTGCCTTTGCGATACGGTCCTCAATTCTTTTTCTCCAGGCTGGGATGGCGCTACTTTTTTGAGTAGCACGTCCAGCCACGGGAAATTTGGTGCCAATAATACGGCATACTGCCAGTGCGGCGCCAAAAAGAATTGAATCCGTCTCGCAAAGGTCCCGGCTGGCTTCCAAATAGGTCACCAGCATTGGGTTAAGAGCCCGCAAGACAGCCCGATTTCGCTTGCTAAGGGGTATGCGGGGAAGTCGCGGTCGATTTTCGAGAGGCATGCTGCGCGTTTCCAGCATCGACTCTTCCAATATGCTCCTCATTTTCTCTAGTTCGTGGGAGACTATTCGATCATCGTCTGAATTAGCCACAAATGGAATGTTGACGGCAGCATCCACATATGCAGTTTGTTGCGCATCTAGTGGCGCCGCATTCCCAGCCGTAGCATTTCCATTCGATGAAGGAATAGCCTCACGTCGTAGTCGCTCGAGTTCGGCGTCACCAAATATGTTGGAGCGCAGGATGTACCTAACTCGGTCTGCCAGGTTTTGCTCAATGACGGATAGAGATGGCTCCAGCTCTGCAAAAAAAGCGATGCATCCGAGCCCGATACGCCAAACATCCAGTTTCTTCCCCATTTGCCCTAAAATACGCCCGCAGTGCGTTTTCATTCATTGATTTAGACCAACGCATGCGACGTGCTCCACCAGCGGCGGGTGCCGCTTGCTGAGTCCGAGAAGACCCAGCCGACACCAAGCCTTCTGGTGGGGATGATGGATGCGGGGGGCTGCTAGGTGGTCTTGCAACACCCCGCGCTCGGCTGGCGGCCTGCATGCTGTCGCGTCCAGCGCCCTGGCGACCTCCAGGCAGCGGCCCTTTGCGCACTATCTTTTTCTCCATCATCCATAATATGGGCGTCCATTAACGGGAGACGCCCAGGCCCGGCACCGTATCGTGGACGGCCATAAGCACAAACGGGCCTTTGCACCCTGAATTCTGCCGAGGCACGGCGCTCACACCTCTCACAAGGCGCTGACTGACTGCGTTGACGTAGCAGTTTTGTCACTTAACTGTTACGTCAGCGGGCGATGGGGTCGTCAATTCCCTACGCCATTATTATTATTATTATTATTTTCATTAATCATGACTCATCTATCATAAACTTATAAGTTATTTAGAAATTCAAAATTAATTAAGCTTTTTTTACGTGAGAGCAAATATGCAAGTCTAGGAAAAGTGACAAGTATCACTGCAACTTAAAAGATCTATTGTGATAGCTGCTATGGCTTTAGTTTACTGCTAAGCCATATATCTTCAATGAATAGAAGAAGTTGCTCAGCTTTGAGCAACTCCATTCATCTAGGTGGAGTACAAAGTTTCCCAGATGAGTGTTACGTTTGGGCATTAAGGGTCCGCAATCAGTTAGGATATACAGAAGCGTTTCTCCCGTTATGGAACAGAATTGGCATATCCTTGAGTTGCTTAGTCTCTGGATGGACATGTGTTTTTTAAGACAACTGTGTCCAGTTAGGGCTTTTTCTTGAATGCGCAATTTATTTTTACTTGATCGTAGGGCTTGAAGCGAATTTACGATCAAATGCCCGGATTAAGGTGTTAGAATATTTTAAGCACGGTGTGTTAGATCAGACCTTAAGTGATATATCGTGACAAAGACATTCAAGGATCAATCCGGCTTAGCTTCTTGAGATTACACAAAATAGCTAAGGAGCAAAGTGTGTGCTATTTGTGCCGTCCCATGCGAGTTTGTCGGCAAGTACAAAGTATTGTGCATTACAAAATACCCACGTGATCCAGAACCTCTCTTAAGATGATCCTGTTGTTACATTCCAGAGCGTTTATACGGTTCACACTGTCTCCAACTAGTTTCGAGTTAATTAATTTTGACCTCAGCGCTGCTTGACTATCGGAATTTAAATTCAAAAATTCAAAAATGTTTATTCTGTAACAAAAAATTAACATTATAGCAGTATATTAGATTTCTCCTTTTAAGTATTTTTAAATACTTGTGACAGGAAAAACTCGCTCTTCCTTAATTAACATACAATACTTTAGTTACAAGAATAGCATAATATTTCTTTCCTAAAATAATTTATTATGAAAAAATATGAAGATGTGTGCGCGTGCGTGTGCGTGTGCATGCTGTGTGTGTGTGTGTGTGTGTGTGTGTGTGTGTGTGTGTGTGTGTGTGTGTGTGTGTGTGTGTGTGTGTGTGTGTGTGTGTGTGTGTGTGTGTGTGTGTGTGTGTGTGCGCGCGCGCGCGCGTGTGTGTGTGTGTGTGTGTGTGTGTGTGTGTGTTTTGTAAGTCGTGTTATTTTAACAAATTTTCTATTTCGTGATAGTCTTTCCGTTTGAGCCATTCAATGAGAGTTACCTTACATTCTTTACTGGTTTTAGAATAAATATTCAATTCTTTATTTAAGTAGTTATATAAATAAGAGGACTTTTTTGCCTGTTGGCGTCTAGCAAATGCTGTTTTAACCGGATCACTTGGAGCTACGTTAGTTTTCCTCCTTTTATTTTCAATTTCAGGGTTATATGCAAGGGACTTGTGTACCTTAAGAACTATATTTAGTATGTATAACTTACGAACTGTAAGAAGATCACATAGTGTGTATAAATCTTGTGTTGGAAATTTGTAAGGTTTAAAATTCATAACCTTCAGTAATGATCTCTGAGCTCTTTCTAAATCTAAAAACTTTGTTTTTGTAGCACCTCCCCATATACTAATACAATATACCAGAACTAATTGAACTAAAGAAATATATACTTGTTTTAATATAGGTGGTGTTGCGAGATGTCTCAAAATTTTGAAAAACCATATGAATTTTCTAATCCTAGTCATTAACAGTTCAATATGTAGATGCCAAGATAATCGCTGATTCAATAGTATTCCAAGATATTTTGTACTTGATACTTTGTTTATGTGAGGGCATGGGCAGTTAGAGTTATTAAGGTCAACACAAGAATGAATTTTAATATTAAAATTAGGTTGAGTCCTATTGTAGTTAGTAAAACATATATAGTTAGTCTTAGATGTATTGTTAGTCAATAAATGTAATCTCAACCATTCTGCAACCTTGGCTAACCCCATTTCAGCGCTATGCCGGACATCTTCCCAGCTTCGACCAAAGAATGCCAGAGCAGTGTCATCTGCATACGAGAACACGTACCCATTTTGTAGCGATATATTACATAGGGAGTTTACGTAAACCAAAAATACAGTCGCACTCAGTACACTCCCCCTGTGGGACGCCGTAAGTAATGGTAGAATCATGACTACAATGCTCTCCTATTTTGACTCGTTGTCTACGGTTTGTTAAGTAATCTTTAAATAAATCTAGGGGTTTACCTCTAATACCTATTTGTTCAAGTTTCTTTACAAGAGTGGGGACAGAGACGCTATCAAAGGCTTTATTTATGTCGAGAAAAACTGTTAAACATTTATTTCCTTTGTCGACTTGGTCAACAATGAGTGAAGTTAGACCTGAAATAGCGTCTTCTGTGCAAAGACCTCGTCTAAAGCCAAATTGTGATATTGAGAGTATTTTGTATTTATTTAAATAATTAGTCAAACGATTATTTAACAATTTTTCTAAAATTTTGGATATTGCGGGAAGAACAGATATAGATCTGTAGTTACTTGGATCGCTTCTGTCTCCACCCTTGTATACAGGGGTAACTAATGCCAACTTCAGTGCAGTAGGAAAAACGCCATCCCTAAAGCAAAGATTAACCAGGTGTGTTATTATGGGTACTAATATTACATTCGCATGTTTTATAAAATTGGTGGTGATATTGTCATATCCAGGGGCACTCTCTGTTTTAAGATTCATTAAGATATTTCTAACCTCCGAATCATCAGTCTCCAGCAAAGAAAAAGATGAAGCATGGGAGCTTACTGTTTTATCCGTAGTGAAAAAATTAATAGAGTTAGGTTTTGATAGAATATCCTCCGCCAGGGATTTCCCAACATTGGAAAAGTAACTATTAACCAAGTTAACGGATTCTAGGGGGATTGATTCTATTTTCAACAACTCTATATTTTTGTCTAGTGACTGCTTGCGATGTGTGATATCATTTATTGCTTTCCAGAGCATCTTAGGGTTTCCGGTGGCATTAATTATCTGTTGTCGCTCAAATTTGCGCTTAAGTTTTTTAATTAAATTGTTGCAGTGATTTCTGTAGCGCTTATACGTGATTCTCAACACTTCATTTTCTGGATCAGATTTTAATTTTAGTTGCATATTATTACGGTTCCTTATGCATCGTAGGACACCTTGAGTCATCCAGGGTTTTACCATGCGACTTGTTTTGGGGACCAATTTCATAGAGGTATTTTCTTGAATATGTGTCTGGATTTTATGTATCAATAATTCGGTTAAAATTTTAGAGTCATTGCATAGAAGCAGTTCTTGTAAGTTTGTGTTTTTAAGGCTATTAATAGCATTTTCATAATTGACTGACCTTTTGAATTTATTACTAAATGTAGTTTTATAATAACGATTGTATAACTTAAGGAAAATCATGTAATGATCTGTGATAGTTGTGTTTATCACTACGATTGTTGCATGTGATTTATTTGTATCTATTTTCAAGATACAGTGATCGAGACAGTTGCTACCTCTCGTAGGTATCGAGTGTCCTGGAAGCAAGCCATGTGTACATAACATATTTAAATAGTTTAGTCTATTTATTCTTTCATGTGTACTTTCATTATATTTGTGTATTATATTAATGTTAATATCACCCGTCAAGACAATATGTTTGCACATTTTTAAGGACTCTAAGTAAAGACTAAGAGAGTTGATAAAACTTTCAGCATGTATGTTAGATGGCGAGCGATAAATACCAATAATAATGTAGTCATTAAATTGAATTTGCAGACAAGACGCTTCTGATAGTGAAATTTCATTGACACTCACTGAATGCTTATTACTAATATAAGCAGTAACACCATCGCAATGATTTATGTGCTGTGTTGTATTATAGGACGTGTAATTATTTAATTACACGTCCTATAATACAACACTACAACACAAGTGCTGTATTAGTCCCTACTTTAATGTATGGTAGTGAAAGTTGGGTGTGGCAGAAGAAGCACGAGAGTAGAATAAATGCAGTAGAAATGCGGTCGCTAAGGAGTATGTTAGGGCTGAATCTGAGTGACAGGGTGAGAAACTGTGTGATAAAAGAAGAGTGTGGTTTGCAAGATGATGCGGTGACCAGGATTAAGAAAGGAATGCTTCGGTGGTTTGGTCATGTAGAAGGAATTAATGCGGAAAGACTGACAAAGCAAATATATGTTGCAGAAGTGAATGGAAGAGTCGGAAAGGGACGTCCTAGGCGGAAGTTTGTCGACCAAATTGGCGATATACTAAAAATGGGCCAAATTAATAGTACCCTTAACCGACGAGCATGTATGCGTAGGTATATGGATGTGGAAGAGGCGAGAAAGGTATGTCAGGATCGTGCTAAATGGAAGTCTGTAGTCTCTGCCTACCCCTCTGGGTGACAGGCGTGAGTGTTTATATTTATGTTTTGTTAATTATTTAATATGGGAACAGGTTTGTTCTTGTCTAACCAACACTCGCTAAGGATAATAAAATCAGGCGTTATT